GTTACCCATTGCTATTATGGGTAGATTTTTTAAAGTACAATGCCTTAATAAAAAATAACTTGAAAGTATATTGCTGTAATAAAGAAAAACAAAAGTAGAATGCTATAATAAGAAATTTTATGAAAGTATGTTGCTATTTCATGCATTTAACCCTAAGTTTAAAAGAAAATTTCAATACATTATCAATCTTGAAATGCTTTTGGTTCTATTAAATATCAATTTAATATTTTATAATTATTGATGAACTTTTTTTTTTGGGTAAAATAATGAATACTTAACAATTTTAAGTAATTAAAATGTCAAAAGAATAAAATAAGTTTATTTTTAAAATTAAAATGTGTCTATTTCCAAAATTAATGCAAAAAATGTTAAATATATATATATATATATATATATATATTTGGGTTGGGTTCACGTCAGACCAACCTGTTTTCGTAAGAACTTTATTACACTTGACACTTCGTAGTAAAACACTGTGAAGGTAAGAAAAAGTTGAACCTTCACAGCAAAAACACTGTAAAGGTTATCTTCACTGCAATAATAACTCATTTTATGAATATTAAATTTATGAAAAATATATTCCGCAAGTACAAAAACAACCAGAAATATCAGCTAAAGCCACTAAAAAGATGAAATTGGCTAATTTGATATCAGACATCTATAATAATAACTTTACGTAATAGAAGTACCCCACAATAACAATTTTACACCACACAAATCAAATCAAATCAAATCTTTGTAAACATATGTCAAATCAAAATCGACCGATAACAAAAGGCGTGTTAGAAACCCATATATTGAACATTTATTATGTTAAGGGTGTTGTTATATAGAAGTTTAATCATTTGAGAACTCCATAACTATTATCATAACTCAAGGTATTGTTTCACATGATTTATTCAAACTGAAACTAGAATTTAATTTATTGATTAACATATTTTATTTTACAATATGTTTGTTTCATATGTATTTGATTCGTAACGTAAAAAAATTTAGTTTTATTTTTTATCTTACGATAGATGTGATTTTTTTTATTAACTTGGATATCCAACCCGCTATACGAGCCGACTGATCCTAAGACGACCACCTGCTTTGCAGATAATTTAAAATCACTGCATTTAAACCTCCATGACCACAATTTTTTTTTTATTACTCCCTAAATGTGAATTTGACGTACTCATATGGTACAATATATTAATCAATACAATATTAATTGGGTGGGAGTGTGATGTCCCACCATCACAATAATTGAAAAGCTTTGAGTGCTGTCATGGAACCCACCAATGTGCAAGAATATTTCTACACAATTAAATATTAGATCCCAACACTAATTAATCACAATATAATCCAAGATCACTTAAATAAATAAAATCAGCCAAAAATAGACATCTAAAGAAAATACCAAAGTCAAGAAATTTTGAATACCCTTTGACGTTTTTCTTTTCTTGAATCCAGAAAAAAGAAAATACGAAAAATATCTGATAAATAACAAAAAGGGAAGGAAACCTGTTACGAGATTCAAAAGCAGCTTGAGAAAGCCTCCATTGGCATCCATAAAGTTGGGCATGAATTGGATGGCCGAGCCTAACCAACCCAAGGGTTTGTAAGTTAAGTGAAGAACCTTCTGTAAAACAACAGACATGAAGATTGCGACACGACTCCAAAAGCTTTCTTCAACGGTTCCATCGGGACAGTCTATGAAATTCCTGTGTCCAATATGTTTGGAGAATAGGAGTTTCGTGAGATCCCATAACCCGACATCTTTAGGGCTTAGAATCATATAATCTTGACAAAATGACTTGTCGCATGGTTTTGAACCGTTGACATCGGTAGCCATGGTCGTTTAGCTAGGGTTTATGATTGAGCAAAAGTGAGAAAGAAGATGTGAAGTTGGCCTCCAATTGTTTGGCTATTTATAAGAAAAGTAATCTGTATGTTTGGTCTCAACTCTACCTTATCTACTACATTTTAAATTCAGTTTCTTGAATACACATTCAATAATCTATACTATATTATAAAGCATTTGATAAAAACTCTTCAAAATTATTTTTTATGCATGAAGTACTGTTTATTGATACATATTACTTAAAATTCAATATTACAAGTAAATTATGCATAAGTACACTTTATTAAAGATTTATGTTTGAATTCATGTAACTAACTGTGGATAAACATAATCAAATTGAGGATAAACATCTCATTTTAAAATATATAAAATGTAAAATATAATTAGGATAACTATTGAGTTCTAAGATAATATTTAATTATTATTTTTATAAAAAATATATTATTAAACCTAAATTAAGTTACTTTATTACGTTAAAT